GATAGATTTGATGAATAGGTGGATGAAAGTGTCGCTAAAAAAATTAAAAACTTAAATTGAATAATTGTATGCAGATAATTTAGTGTTTAGTTGTGAGAGAAAAAATATGAGAAATAGAGTGAAAAAATTTTGTCAAAAAAGAAAAAGAGTGAAAAAAATAAAAAAAAGAGAGAAATAAGAGAGTAAAAATAATTAAAAAAATATATGATATGAAAATTAGATTATTTGATTCGAAAAAAAATATGTAAGAAATTGAAGATAAATTATAATTTTTTTCTTTGGTTCGTTCCTGGAGTATAGTGGTGATTAATCGCTACGTTGGAGGCACCTCAAAGGGGGATAGCTGGTCCCAAGATTTAACGCGACTGCATACACAAGGCAGGATTCGAACCTCTAACCTTGCTTAAGCGTGGATCAACCCCTACCGCTGAACCACACACTTAGAGTTAAGATAAATTATAATTAATAAAAGATTACAATTTTACCCTTCTATTACGTACGAAAATACTAGTAAAAAGATATTAAGCAGAATGATTGTTCATTAAAAAATAACCGCATTCAGATACACACACTCAAATAAAATAGCAATATAAATGAATCCATTGAAGTAACAAAATGATCTCATTCAAATAAGAAACAAATGTGATTTGAATAAAGCAAACCATTGAAGAATATATTTGAATAACAAAATAGCAAATTTGAATAAAAGAAGCAAAGAGCCATGATCTAAAAGCAACTAGTGTTCCAACCACACTTCCTCTCACCACCTAGGCTTGGCCATCGACCAAGTAAATGGTCAAACTGGAAGGAAGTAAGGAGCTCGAGAGGGATAAGAACTCGAACCTTCCCTGGAGTCTAACAATGGGACTGGAAGAAGTCGATTGTCTCATAGTGACGTTGCTGACAATTCCACTGCCGCTCAATATGCGAACTCCGACAGAGACTTTCCACGATGTCGCACGTGTCTACCACCTCCATCACGTGAATTCTCATGGCATTGGCGCTGTCGCGGGTATCATAATGGGCTGGCTTGGAATTGGTGGTGGTGGTGATGGAGGTGCAAATCCCTTGTGCGAAAAAGAGGGGAGAGAGAATGAACAATTAATGAGAGATTAATTTATAAAAATTAAAATTTATTTATAAAATAATAAATTTGATAAAAATTATACATAACATTATTTAAAGAAGAAGGATCCAACTTTTGAAGTGTCTTTAACATAGTGAGGAGATTAGTTACTATTATCGGCGATAGATATTTCAGGACGAACCAAAAAAGAAGAAGGATCTATTTATTTCAGGAGTAAGTCTATCTAAACTTAAATTTACTTCGTTCAATAACTCATGCTCTACATCAAATTTCAACGATTCAACCGTTAAGTTTAAAGTTCTTAATATATAGATCAAATTTGTAAATTAAAAAAAAATAAAAATTATTTGATACTTCGTTTCATTAATTTAAATCAATGTATAAAATAATTTGATGATTATTCGTCAATTTGAATTAATGACATGAAATATTAAATAATTTTCAAATTTTCTAAAAACTTGTAAACTTGATTTATGCATTAAAAATTTTAAATTTAATAGCTAAATCGTTAAAATTTGATATAAAACATGAATTATTAAATAAAGTAAATTTAAGTAAACTTATTTCTAAAATAAATGAATGTTTCCTCTTATTTAAATAGTCTTGTTCAGATAAATCATACCCTATTTAAATATGAGTTAATCACTAATACATTGTCAGTGTAAAACTTTTTTATACTGGCAACTAATCATATATTTTAATAGTGTCATATCAGTTACTTATTTAATGAAATAAAATAAAATAAAATAATTTAAAAGATATGATTAATTGCTAATATAAAAAATTTTACACTGACGATATATGAATGATTAACTATTTAAATATTCCTAATCACATACAACATTCCCTCTAAATAAAACTTAGGGAGGTGTATTGGATTAGGATTTTAAAGGATTTTTTTAGTTAAAAAAAATCTTGCGGATTTTAAAAGACTTTGCAGGATTTTCATGACTTTTAAGATTTTGCAAGATTCTATAAGACTTCAAATCAGGATTTTAATGGATTATGCAAGACTTTTAGATCAGGATTTTAATGGATTCTGTGGAATTTTGTGGATTTTGTATAATTTTTGTGGAGTTTTGACATTTGATAAGATTTTAAAAAGATTCATACATTCAAATTTAAAAGAGTCAAAGACAAAAATAATAAAAAAATAATAATGTCTAGATAAATAATAATAATAATAATTCTCCATAATATCTTATCATCTTTTTATAGCATCCACTATCAATTGTAACAATTCATCGGAATCCTCCTTGGTCCAAGCTTCATATTTTTTTCTCTTTTCCTTTTCCTTTATTATTTCCTTGTGAATCTCCCATTTGAATTACTAAAACAATATATGTTGAAAACTAGTTATATAAATAATTATGGATAAGAGACAAAATCAATAAAATTATATTATTATTTTTAGAAGTACACCAATCATACAAGATCGAATATATCTTGGCTATCCAAATGGATCAAATACCTCAGTCATTATATAAAAAAAACATGCAAAAACAGAAATATAGAAACATAAGATAATTTTTTATATAAAAAAATCAGTATATTTGATACTGGAAAAATATTTAGATATATAATTTTTTTATATAAACGGAAGTATTTAGATATAGAGAATATATATATATATATAGTATTTTATATTATATGATGATTTTTAACGATATTTATAAATGTAAATTATTCTAACAAATATTTTAACAATATTTCCTTTTTTTTTAAAAAAATAAGCTAATGAAGGCATAAATCCTAAACCCTAAAATATTAGATATTGCAATGTCTTATGTTAATTTTATTTTTTTAAAATATAAAAAAATTCTAATTTCACAATATAAAAATAAAAAGAAAAATTCATAGTAAAAAAAATAAAATAATTGTTGAGTCATAAAAGGAGGAATAAGAGTAACAAATTCAAGGGAATGAGAGAGTTCGCAATTTTTATGCTGAGAGGGTTCTTCCCCCAACTAAGATCCATTTTCATCTCATTCTACTCACAGAAACCCTAACAAATTCATCTTTTATATATATATATATATATATATTGTAGAGATTATGATATCAATTTCATTTTTCACCTTTTTATTTTCTTGATGTGTGTTATAAAAAAAAATTACTACTTGAAAGTTAAAATTTCAAGCATTTTTTTTGTGTTATATAAAGGAACAAATTCAATTACATAGAATAAAATAAAGCAAGTCAATTAAAGAGAACGAACAGAAAAATAGAGCAAGTCAATGACACTATCATTTACATATCGGAATTTCACAAAATAGGGGAATGAGATGAGAACAGTACTACAATATTATATATGAGCAATGAACAATAGTGCAATATTATTAGTAGAGAAAAAAATGGAGAAGACAGGAGCATAGAAAAAAAAATGAAAAACTCACTTGAAAATTCTTGAAACACTTGAAAAGTCACTTCAAACAATCCTTCAAAATTCGATGGATTTGAATGAGATTGTTTTCTGAATCTATTATTTATAGATAACACTAAAAAGTCCTTCAAAATCCCTTTCATACAACAATCATTTAAAATTCTTATATTTTTGAATATCAATGGATTATTTTTAAGTTGTAAAAAATCTCAAATGAATACCAGTGAATTTTAATGGACTCTTTAAAAAATCTTGAAAATCTAGATTGAATACCACTGAATTGTTTTTAAGTAATATAAAATTCTGATTGAATATCAATGGACTTTTTTACTCAAAAAAAATATTTTAAAATTCTACGAAATCCTAAACTAATACACTCACTTTAGCTAAAAGCATAGTTTTAAAAACCGGACCAGTCATCGAACCGGTTAAGGTACTGGGTCAGTGGGTCAAAGGTTGAACCGGTAGGTCATTAATTGAACCGCATGACTCGATTTTTATTTACTTTTATTAAAAAAATATTCATATTAAATATATTTTATACTTATAAATTTTAATAAATTCATATCTTATTTTAAATTTTAATTTTTCTATCTTATTTAAAATTATTTTTATTTTTATTTTGTAAAAAAATACATAAAAAATTACATGTTAAACGGTATATTAATACAAATTAAAAATAGAAATAATATGTACATATATAATATGCTTGCAATTAATACCACAAGATAATATATGTAATATTTACATAAATATTATATTATTAAATATATAATTTAAAATTAATAATATACTATAAAAGTTATTTAAGTTGTATATATTGCAAACAAATATATTAGAACAAGTAGTCATTATTATATTTAATAAGACTCCTTGCTTTTCTATTAAGAGATTCAATTTTTTTTATTATTTTTTGTGGTTTATGGTCTCTTAAAAAAAAAAAAAGTGGTTGAAACGGTTTGACCCATCGGTTTATTGGTTGAACCGGAAAATTGACCGGTTCAATCCGGTTTGAAACGGGTCGACTGCATAACCAATTCAACTTAAGATTCGGACCAGTTGGACCACCGGTTCCGGTCCAACCGGTCCGACCGGCCGGTTCGTTCCGGTTTTTAAATCACTGGCTAAAAGGAATTGCCATTTGTTTACTACCCTCTTTATTTCCTTATTTCGTGTGTGTTTCTATAGTAACAAACCGAGTGTTAAGGAAAATATAGCAGGCTGAGATGGCAAACGGCTGAAGCAGATAATAACTCCATCCCTGTGTCTGTCCCCACCAACACCATCGAAACAAACGGTGATGATAGCATGCCACCATGCCGCGTTTTGATAATCACAACGGCTAACGCCAAAAAGGTATCTCATCCTGATTCTCGTGCTAAAATCATCATCCCCATCGCGCGGGCCCCACCTGCATAAAACAATTTAATTTCTCCAACTAGTGACGGAGTTATAGATACAACAATGTTTTAATTTACATCGCCAAATGACACCAATGCCCTCGCCCCCTCTCTTTATAACCAAACGCACACTCCACACGCACTTCCCATCCCATTCTCAATCGCGTGTTCTTTCAACTTTTGTCTTTTTTTTGTTTTTTTTTCTTTTTCTTTTCTGTAATTTTATCTCTAGAGAGAGAGAGAAAAATGTTGGGAATCTTCAGCAGCTCGATTGTGTCGCCACCGGAAGAGCTGGTGGCTGCCGGGAGCCGAACGCCGTCGCCGAAGACGACGGCGGGAAGGCTGCTGAAGCGGTTCGTGGAGAGCAAGGCGTCGGCGGTGTCGCTGCAGGTGGGGGAACACGTGCAGTTGGCTTACACGCACCACAACGAGTCACCGTGGCAACCCAGGTAACAACATCGTAAATTCCGCCATGCACACTAAAGTCACGTCGTTCTTAATTGTTATGCCATTCATTTCTTCGCATTTTGTGGTTGGTGGAATTCAAAACGCTTCCTGATTCACCAATTCGGAATTCTCACTCAACTTTTAGTAAATCATTTTAACTAATCAGAAGAAAAAGGGATTAATTAATTCAGAAAATTTCTGAGAGAGTATGTGATCGGTTATATATATATATATATGCTCGTGCCAGGACATGGTTGGTGGCAAAACTTTGTTGCTGCCGCTGATTTAATGTAACGATCCTTCGGATCGATCACTGCCCACTTGATTATCGCCCTTGCATGCTTTCTATATTCTATGGTCTTGATGATTGATGGGACTTGAGAGCTGTTTTACGGTATGATACAACATGGATTTTTAGAAGGTTGCGTAATTTTTATTAAAAATTTTATAATAAAATAAAGTAAATGAAAAATTACATTCGCAATAAAAAGAACTTTGATGTAAGATTCTCCATATATAATGAAAAGACACATATATAGCTCTAAATTTAATGTTGTATATTTGTAAATATTATATTTTATATAACACTAAAATTTAAAAAATTGTCCTCTTATTGTTATTATTATTATTTTTTATTTTTATACATTTCAAAAAATCATTATGAAAATAAATATTATTTTGTATATATTATATTTTATTATTATTTTAATAAATACTTAATGTGCACTTATTAAAATTTGTCTATTCAAAATTTTTTAATCCTTTATTGTTTTTTTTTTTTAAAAAAAAACTCGGCTCATTACAAATTTCTAGTTTAGGATATAGCGGTGGAAAATGAAAATAATTTGGATTTAGGTGTATTGTTGAAGAAGGTCTTCAGAATTTGCGGAAGAGAAGGAAAAAAGGACCGACAGGAAAATAATTTTGATATTATGTATTTTCCCCAACTCACATGCGTTTTACAATTTCAAACAAATATTTTGGTCATTTGGTTGTAAATTATTATAAATCATCTAGTATCGATTTTGACTTCCATGTCTGGCAAATATATAACTAAGTTATTTATTTTTCAACGTTTTATTTTATTAGCATGAATTTTTATTTAATGTATGTATAAAAATATTTTACATCGATAATATATATGAATTACTTTAAGGGTCTTTATGATTATCAACTTTATTACCATTCTATTGATGAATGAAATGTTGGAGATTTTGCTGGCTCACGACACGATCTATTTGTAGCACTAGAGATTCCTTTCACGTCACGGTTTACGGATCCTAGAGTGAATTATTGATCCATTTCCATGGTCCTTGTGGTGTGTATAAATTTGTATTTTTCTGTTCGTCCTTGAAACAACAGTGATTAATTTCTTTGTTACGTTAGAGTTATTTCAAAAGAGTAAGATAGCTAATTCTAAGACCTTTTTTATTTGGAAATTTTCAAATATACTTAGTTTAAATTCGGAAAACCGCTGCTTTTAGTTGAACGTGCATTTGGTTGAATTTCATCGCCAATACAAAGTACAAACAATCCTTAGAGGTCAAGAAATGCAATGGGACCACTGGGTCCGATAATATTAAGTTTTTTCCCCTTTCTTTTTATGTCGCTAATATTCGAATTTTCGTGGACGTTATATTAAATGAAGACACTCGGTAGTCTACGCCATTGTTTTAATTACTATAATAGTCGCTTGATTTTTTTAAATTAATTTTTTACGATAAATGAAGTAGCGTTTGCACGCTATGTTTTATTGCCTTTTTCTATCAAATTAAAATGTATTTTTTTAATTCATGTTCAATTCTGTTCTATTTTTAATAGTTATTAAATGCTTTTTATTTTTTTATATATATTATGATTCGTCTTGATCTAATCTTTCTGCCAATTACTATCTTAAGTATCCTTTAATAAATTGTGATGAGAGTAGAGTCTATATTAAATAAAAAAATGAAGATATTTTTATGTACTCATTTTAGAGGCCAGACACTACCGTATTTAGTGTTAATTATTAAGGTCTTTGTTTTAGAGAAATAGATGTGAAATTCGGTGGCCCCTGTAACTGACTTGGTGTGTTCACATGCAATTATTAGTCTTTTGCGTCTGCATTTCCACTTCAAAATGCTGACTTTTATTCGCTGAACTGTTGTTTTCATTCCAGTCTTTTGCTTTTATGGCCCAAGGAGGATGAACGAAGATAAGGATAACAATAACATATATTAGGTTGGTGGGACCGGAGGATAGTAAACACTAAGATGAAACTAGTATTTATATTCTAAGTCTCATTAATATTAAATATCTTATTATATATACATTTTTCCTTGTTTGAAGTATCTCTCTACGTGTTCTTTTAGAGTTGGATGTCCACTAATTATTTTCCTTATATTCTTGTCATGAAGTTTTTTTAATCAAATAATGGCAGATGTTTTTTTTTAAAACATTAAATATTTTTATTCAAAATATTCTATTGAATTTGAAAATAATACATACCTACATGTTACTACTTGATTGTAGACAGTAAAAAATAAAAACTTGATTTAAGTTGTCCAAACATCTGAACTTGATGCTCTCTCCCAGTAGCACGCATATAATACATAAACATCGTTTTGTATAAAAAAAACTATGATTGTAATAAACTATAATCATGTTTGATTTTAAAAGTATATTTAATTATTTATTTATTTTTACTTTAAACTGGCAATTTTGTATTACATAAATTTAATTTGAATCAAAATTAATTTTTAAATTAAATTTGCAAACATTTACAAAAACATACGGATCATATTACAATACCTGCTATAGAAATTATCTCTCAACGCATAAAAAGAAAATAATTTATTATTTCTCACTATAGAAATTACTTTGCTTTGGAGTAAATACTTTTTTCTTTACCAAATGTTTTTTCGTGTAATGTTTAAGCTTTATCAATTTGTTATTTAATAGAAAATTTTAGGCTTGAAATGAAAGTATAATTTTGTTGGGTTTCTAGGTTCCGTGGGCCCTTTTAGCGAGCTTAAAAGCAAAGTAATATACAAATTATGTGGTGGCTATTGCTATCTTGTCTCCCGTACTAATAAGAGCAATGATGCATACCGATTCATACAACATAACATGTAAAATGGTGTTGTACATGTTAGGGGAGGTTTTATATAAACTAGGTAACAATCTACACAATACATAGTAAATAATCCTATTTCATACGTAAATCATATAAATAAGTTTGATACCACGTCATAATCTAAAATCTTAAAATATTATATAAGTGAGTCTTTTTCACTTATATACTATTAACATGTTCAATTTTAACTAATATATGATTTACTTCACACTTAAACTCTAATAATTCAAGAAACATTTGCATAACTATTTTGTAGATCTTATAATTAATGGGTGAGGTTGTTTCAATTAAAAGGGCAATGCCCTGTTAATCTTTGTGTTCGAGGCTTTGAGCATACTATAATAAAGGCATTGAAAGTTGCACATTTTGCATCTCAAGATTCTCAACTAGTAATTGTTTTAGGTCAATAATGAATACAATAGCAATGGTAGTGTAATATGTGTGACGTGTTTAGCTAGATTACACTGTTTCAACGTTTCAAAATTGATTTTTATCAATCATTTATCTTTATGGTCTAAATGCTGAGTGGAAAATGGCAGATCATTTGCTGTTAAGGATGAGATATTCTGCTTGTTTGAGGGAGCCCTAGACAATTTGGGCAGCCTGATTCAACAGTATGGACTGGCCAAGTCAGCCAATGAAGTAATTTTGGTGATTGAGGCTTACAAAGCTTTGCGTGATCGAGCACCCTACCCTGCCAATCGTGTTGTTTGCCACCTCAGTGGGAGCTTTGCTTTCATAGTTTTTGACAAGTCCACTTCTACCCTCTTTGTGGCTTCTGTAAGTTATTTATCCCATCAATTGTCTTGATCATCCACCACACCATCTTTAGTCATTTTTACTCACAACATTGTGCTTGTATTGTTTTGACAGGATCAAGCTGGTAAGGTTCCTCTGTATTGGGGAATCACAGCTGATGGGTACGTAGCATTTGCTGATGATGCTGATTTGCTTAAAGGTGCTTGTGGCAAGTCACTTGCTTCTTTCCCTCAAGGTGCGTTTAATCATAACATGATTACTATTTATTGCGTACAAATAAAAGTGCTTATAGAGTTATAGTCATAGTCATCCCAGATTGGATCATTCACCCCCTCCCCTTCAAAACAATGATAATTCATAATAAGTATAAGACTTGGAGGAAGTGTTTGTCAGTAGAACAATGGAAGATACTTGGTTTTGGCTTGGTGATGTGTCGGGCAATTTCTCAGTTAAATCGGCTTACTCAGAGCTTCTTAGTTTGACCTTTGGGTCGCAACATCTAGATTTTTTTGTGGATGTGTGGAACACTAAGATACCTATGAAAGTATCTATTTGCATTTGGAGGATCCTCTTAAACAGGATGCCATCTCGAGACAACCTTATCAAGAGGAATATTTAACTTGTGGAAGAGGACGCTTTGTGTCTTGCTTGTAGAGTTGAGGCAAAATCTATAGCTCATGTCCTATTTAGGTGTAAAAAAGCTCAAAAGGTTTTGGAAAACTTGTTTTTGGTGGTTCGACGTCGTCTCTGTTCTCCCAGGTACACCGAGCTTACACTTTTATCATTACCCTATGCTATCTTGGAACACTACTTGTAGAGAGATGGAAAGTACTTTGGTGTGCTGTGGTCTGGTGTATTTGGAAACACAGGAATGCATCTTTACATAAAAATCAAGTTTTTGACTCCAATAAAGTGATTCAAGACGTTCTGTATTTCTCTTGGACTTGGCTAAAAGAACTGACAAAGGACTTCTCATACTCCTTCAATCAATGGCAAAATTCACCTGGAACTTGCTTTTGTAATTGATTTATATTTTATTAGGCATGGTTGAGTTTATTGACATTTCTTATTTATCACTTGTTAAAGTGTGTTAACTACCTTTGTATTTCTAGGTACTTCTAAGTATTAATAAATTTCTTTTGCTAACAAAAAAAAAAAGTATATGGCAATTTACTAGAATAAGAGGGGGAAAATGAAAAAAAATATAAGATTTAAATGTTTTTAATCTCTCAAATTTAAGATTTCTCAAATTTAAAATTGATCTCTTCAGTCCCTTCAATTTCTAGAAATCTTGTTTTTACCCCCCTTAGGACCACTAGTAGCATAACTGATAGTCGTATAGTTATGCAGTATAAGTTGAGTTTGATAATTTTTCACTCATTATAGACATTGTTATTTTGTGAATTGCACAGGATGTTTCTACTCCACAGCAGTTGGAGGACTGAGATGCTACGAGAATCCAAAGAATAAGATTACCGCAGTACCTGCTGAGGCAGAGGAAATCTGGGGTGCATTCTTCAAGGTAACAAGATGACATGAGTTTAAATATAATTGCTGGTACAGTTCTCAGTTCTCTTAGCAGAGCATTCTTTTCATTTGTTTAGAATAGAGAGTCAATCCCAACAGTATTTGGAGGTTAATGTCAGGTGAGGTTGCATTAGGTACAAAGGGAAAGTGTAAGGTCAGAGGCAATAGAACATGAGTTCATAAACAAGCCATGCATATAGTGACATTTCACTAAACAAAGGTGTAGTGTCCAAAATGAATGAGTGACTACTTTAAACTTAATCTCCATATCTCTTTAGAAGGTATTGTTAGAGCTTAAGAGGTTAGAGTTGAAAATCCATTATGTAATTAGGCTTGCAAGTTGCAACTGAATTTCACTGAGGTAATAACATTGTGATCCATACTCAATCCTTATCTTGAAACATTTGAAATAGCAAAATTAGAATCAGTGCAAGTTTGATTTGGCTCTCAAGTGGTTGGCAAGTCTTGTTTAGGTACAAGTTTTATTCAATTCCTTACAGGTTGATTATTTTTGCATTCATGGTTTATTTCTTTTGTCTGTGTCACTCTCTCCATAAATGAACTCTGATACATCTATCTTATGATCTGTTGTGTATATTTCATGCGATGAATTATCAGGTGGAAGGGTCAGCAGTTCTTGCAGGCACAGAATAGAAGATCCATTTTCAAATAGAGTACCGTGTGGTGCATTAATGAAGTAATGTCTTTATGTGCCTGTGAAGTTAAGGAAAGCTGAGGGGCCATGTAAATAACTTAAATGTTAACTATGAGAAGAGTGCGACTGGTAATAGAGTTAATATTATATTATGGTGAAGTTTGTTCATTAGATAGGATTTACTCTGTTTTCGTGTACAGTTGCGCTTTCTGATGTAATAAAAATATGCTTCTGGCTTGAGATTCTCTAATACTCCTTCAATGCAAAGTGTGTCCGAATAAGATAAAAAGGATCACCTACTCACATACCCATTATTGAGAAGCTTCTACATGTCGATATTGTTTTACTAACAAATTACAATTACAACCGAACATGCAATTCAAATTACAGGAACTCTTTAATTAATTGGCTTGCGTGGTATGTACATGTACACAAGGGTGTTCGCGAATCGTTTAGTTCAAAACTTCAAATTTTAGATAAAATATATTTCAGTCAAATATAATAAAAATATAAATTTAGTTTGTTTTGAATTTAAAATTAAACTTGAAGTAAAACAATTCAAAATTATTTTTTTTCTTCGTTTATTTTAGTTTTTGCTTTTATTTTCTAATATATCTATTCTTATACTATAAATTTAGAATCTCTAACATAGAGAGTAAATTTCTGTTTGTTTACAATTTTAAAAATAATTTTTTAGGTTTTTAAAAATTAAAAATTTTAAAACTTGCTTGAATAGCCAGTTGTACAAAAAAAAAAAAATTAAAAAAATTTATTTTTTTTGGATTTTTTAAAGCAACAAACTAGAACAAGTTTGAAAGTTTAGGGTTTAAACTATTTTTCACCTTTTCTATGAGGTACATTTTACATACTATCTTCACAACTACTAAAAATATCTCTTTTAGTCATTTTAAAGTAACCTCATGTCACAATTTATATAATTTATCATATTTAAAATGACATACATACACGCGCGCATACACACATACTCACACACACATATTTATATATATATATATATATATATATATATATATATATATTATGTGTTTACTATGAGTTGTAATTATAATATTGTATTCGATTGGTCATCATTATCTAAATCAGTCAATCAATTATGAATTATTAAGTTGATTATGCTTTCTTAGTAGTTTCATGGAGACAACTTCACCTTAAACGCTATGAAACAAGAGTTTTGTCAAGATAAAGACTTCAATTGTCACCACTCCCATGAGTATTAAGCCTAATCTTCATACATTTGTACTAAGAGTTCTCTTATATTTAAAAAAAGAAAAAGAAAACCTATGTATAAGGGTTCCAAAAAGTCTGTAAGAACATTTGATGTCCAACTATGAAGTAAAATGTTTGCCACCACATTTCACAATGGCATGATGTCGAATCTCCAATACAACTAAACTATGGGATCAACAATCTTGGAGCTTATGTCACAAATGGAGCAAATGTAGTTAAAGAATGAATGTATGTGAAAGAAAAATGAGAGAATGCAAGTTCAAATCAATGAACTAAAAGTTAAGAAGGAATAAAAGGTAAAAGTCTCTTAGTACACCACTCAAAAGAAACAAGATGATAAACCCCTAACCAACCAAGACAATGGTTTGACAACAAAGAAGTTGGTCCATAATTTTGAAGAATGAACACTAACTTTCTTAAATTAGTTTGACTCTAATGGCATATACAAGAGAGGATAATCAACTTCTTCAATCGTTTCTCGTAAGATAATGAACAAATGAAGGATTACAAAAATAGGTTCAATCAAGAGGTCATGTAAGCGAAAGATTTGGTCCCCACAAACTACCTTAGAGTTATCACCAATAGATTGAAAAACTATTAAATTATATATGATCTCGCTAGCCGTCCCCCACCAATATGATTGGATTAAGAAAGAGGTCGTAAGGGAAAATGATGCAAAAGAGGTCACAATAGCCAAAAAGAAATATAGAGATACAAGCCTAAGGCCATGATGCAACCTATAATTGTAATTCAATGGAAAAAAGTAGCCTTATAAGGGATGACATATGATAATTGTCACTTTTTACTTAATTTTGTTATCTTTATTGAGTCAGTCAGTCAAAGAAGGGATTAAATATGCTATTGACCTATAGTGATATATCATTAAACTAGTTTGAAATTGGATCACACCAATGAAATTAGTTTCAACCAAACCAAACCAACCAAACTTTTTCTTATCATAAAGCCTAATAAATTGCTGACAATTGTTGTTATTGCTTTCACATGACCTAAAAGGTGTATCTTATTGCTTTCTTATGACCTATAAAACTAAGATATTACTGGTGAGTGACATGGTTTCTTTGTTAAAGAAAGTTATGAATAAAATGTAATACATGAAAATTTAACAGAGGCCCTAACATTTTCAAAGTCTACAACTTACCCTATACTACTAAACTAGTAATGCTATTAGCTTATTATGTCACACAATTATTGTATAATTTTTTTTAATGTAAAATCAATTCAAGTAGTTCAACTAATGACTTACTAGTTTAACCAATAATCCATCAACTTAACATATTGATCGAGTTGATGACCGATCCTTGATTTTGATAACATTGGTTTATATTCAATACAATGTTGTTTAATTCATGGAATGATAGTTCATCATGAGATGAAGATATTAAAAAAAATGTGTTCAAGAATGCAAATGAATCTCAAATTTAAAATGATGTGTACACTTAAAAGGAAATTTGATTAATCAAATATTTTTAAAGAAATTATGGCTTACAAAAAATCTCAATTGAACTTTGACAACACAATTAATATTTTGTTGCATGTTGAGTTCATCAAAAAGAGTTTGTTGTAAAATTGGAAGTATGCTCTTTATTCTCTCCGGATAATATGACATACATGTTTTTCATCTTTTCTTATATTATAAGTCTATTTTGTAACCGAAACTTATTATTTTTTATATAATAATAAATAACATTTTAATAATAAATGTAAATTAATATAAATATTTTTATCATAATATTTTTTGACTAATATTTCTTTTTCTTTTTCTAAATTTCAATATTTTTATGATTTCAAAATATGTGATATCAATTTTATGAAGAGAAAAATGCACATATCTTAACCTCATTATAAATTTGAAAAATAGTTATATATATCTTCATTATTCAATTTTCTTTAGCAATTTAGGCCCAAAATTTATAACTCGTGATGATTTTAACTTTTGTAAAAAATATATATTTGGTGCCTTTTTTTAATATATATATTTTTTTAAAAGTAATCATTTTTTTAAGGAAATAAAGTTAAATTCAAAATAATTTATTTTACGTTTGTTATAAGGTAATAATTGTCTCATCGTGAGGACATATTCGTCATACAAAAAAGTTATTGTAGCATTAAAATGGTCCGAGCTCGTGATTCTTTCTTGAACTTTCATTGTCACATTTACTTGACTTGAATTTCTCTCTCTCTGATTTGGATTTGGCATCTCAGTTTGTTCAAAGAAAAAGTAGGTATATCTTTTTCTTTTTTTTCCTGTGTTAGTATTTTCTTATTGCTAGAGGATAATCAAATATAACTTTATACACCATATTTATGTTTATATATAATGTATATAGTTTACTTTTTTTGTGATTTTTTTAGTGACAAATTTTAAAAGTTCTGCAAGATGTTTTGTTGACAAGAAAAAAAAAATTCACTTAACTCAAGGCTTTTAATTTGATGCTTGTTGATGTTCTAGGTGTTGTTGCATACATTTTTCATGTATCTTGTCACTTATCTTGCATACATTATTTTAATTTTTCACTTATCTTGTCACTTATTTCGGAAGAATGGTGTTGTTGATGTGAGTGAACCCGTTTAACCAACAAGTAATTTTCTTATTGCATACATTTTTCATGTATATTGTGACTTATCTTGCGAATGGTCATATAATAATTTGAAGTCCATTACGACAGCATGGATCAAAATCAGCAAGGTCAAGGGGTTAATCATCCAACACAAGCAGCACGTGGCAAGAACAAGTATGAATTCAACCCCATGGTGGGACCTAGCAATCCTCCAACTCAGATTGTTGGTCCTTCTAACCTTTCACCCCACCCAAGAGATGCTCCTGAATACACCAACCAGTTGCAACAAGATGTCTTACAACAACAACTCAACAACTTTTGGGCAAAACAATGTCAGGAAATTGGGGAGGCTACTAATTTCAAGACTCCCAACATGCCTTTGTCTAGGATTAGGAAGATCATGAAGGCCGATGAGGATGTGAGGATGATATCAGCTGAGACTCCTATGGTGTTTGCTAAGGCATGTGAAATGTTCATTCAGGAGCTCACAATAAGGGCATGGGCTAATGCTGAGGAAAACAAAAAGAAGACACTTCAAAAGAGTGACATTGCATCTGCAATCACAAAGAATGATATGTTTGATTTTCTTGTTGACATTTTCCCCAGGGATGACAAATTGGAGCATGCAGACATACCAAGAAGAGGCACTGCTCCAATTGAGAATGTTCCTTACTATTATTACATGTCACCCCATCAGTATGTTGCAAGGCCACCACACGGGGCTCCAGGAATGGTCATGGGAAGGCCCATTCCTGATCAGAATCAAAATGGGCTGCAAACCCGTCCTTTTTTTCCAACTCCAATGAGGCCCACTTCGGATGAATGAGAAACAAGGACTTTCTTGTTTATTTCCTTTTCCTAATGGTATGTTGGAGAGAATGTACTAGTTCTGTAATGAATTCAATCTAAATGTATGAAACTCTTTTCTGTGGCATTTGAGAATGATAACTCCAAGGTTGTTTATGGGATTGAGACTCACATCCATTTCCAATTATCTCAGCCACATTATAAATTGATTGCCTAGACTGTGTTTAGAAATTATGAGACTTGATTTTATGTTCGAAGCTGAATTTTACAAATTAGTTGTTAGTTGTGCCAAATTTACTTTCAATTTTTTTTTCTTCAAAATGTACACACTCTTAAAATGTGTACAAAAAAACATTTTCGTTCCATTAACTGATCATTGAATATTATATGTATTTATTTATGTATGTAACAGTAGTAAATTCATGTTTAATTGATTAAAAAGTTAATTTAAGAAAATAACAAAATATATGTTTTATACTTATAAAAATATAAAAATTTATTTTAGTTAAATATATAAACTAATGTATTAGTTTTTTTTTTCTTTCCAATCTTGTCAATCCAGTGTCTATTTCTGCTTTAGATGTTGTGCATGTTGCTTGTATGCCCACGTTAGTATTATAAACATGTTTATTTTGATTAAAATTTCTACTTATTAAAAAAAAATTGTTACGAAATATTTTTGTTTGTTTCCTTTTTCTCACTCGTTACTAGACGTTTCTCACCGATTAAATAAGTAAACTAATTTGAAAATTTTAGAAAAATCTAAAAACCTTGAATTTGAAAAAATCAAACTTAACAATTTCGGAAAAAAATAACCAAATTTTCAAAATTAAGCAACACTAACAAGTGTTCAAATTTATAGTTTTTTTTTCCTTCAAAATAAAAGGAAGTTTGATGAAATGTTATTATGAAGGATTATTTTTATTATGAATTTATTTATATTTAAAAAAACTGTAGAATGAAATGAAAACCAAAAAGATAAAAGAGAGCAACCGTAGGTCCCTTAATATCACATTCAATTCCTTAAAAGAATAAAGAAAAATGAAAAAAAGGTATCCCATCATCCTATGTGGTTTTCTCTTAAATTAATTCATCTTATGCAATAAAAATTATACTTAAAAATATGTGTTGTTCTCTTAATTTGTTCAATTATATTTATCAAACAAAACCTTAGTTTTTAAAAATTAAAGAGTAAATATTTTAAATTGTTATGCGAGGAGGAGAAATACATGTAAGTTGATATTCAAGACTATTAAAAATTCACTGATGTGCATGGGACGAATATATATATATATATAAATTAATATTAATAAAAAAATTATTATTTTTCTTGTTAATGAGCATATTAAACGTAATTTTAAATTATCACACATTATAGTTTTGATGAAAAAAATGTTTTTTTTTTGTTTTTTTTATAATGAACAATTTAATTAAATTTAATCTATTAAGTATTAATTAATGTGTTTATTTATATAATTACTAATTTACTAATTTAATATAATTTGAAGCTATATAAAAGGATAATAAAATAATATTACAGATAAAATATGTGACAAATTGAGAATAATCAAAAAAATAAATAGGGTAAAAAATAAATTAAATAAAATGTAAATATGTAATATAAAGAGTTGAGAATAAAAAAAAGGAAGAAAAAGTAGTACCTTTCATTTTTTTATAAAGATTGTCTTGTGAAATGAAAAATAAATAAAGAGGGTGACAAATATTTTATAACTAAATTATTTTTTTTTATAAAGATTGTCTAGATAAATATATTTTATAACTAAATTATAAAATACTCTATTTCAACATTTTATCAAATTAATAAATTGATAATAAAGAATATACATATATTCATTATTTTCAAATATGTAACTTTTTTACAATCTAATTGTGGAGAAATTTGCCAATTTTTTTTTATTGTTGTTTAAAACTAATATTAATAAAAAGTTTATTATTTTTCTTGTTAATGAACATAAATGTCAATTAATAATAATTATTAGGTTTTGGAAAAAGAATTTTTTTAATAATGATTTATAATTAATATTACTATCAATATTAATTACTATAATGTTTATTATTTTTTTGAAACAGAAAATTTAATCGAATTAAATTTCTTAAATAGTAAATTAATGATGAAATATTTTAAACTACAATTAATATCAATTAATATTGCTTTATATATATATATATATATCAATTAATATCAATTAATCTTTCTTTATATATATATAATTTTTAATTAATAATTTAGCCTAAAACTATATATATGAAAGTCATTTTTTATTTTTATATTTAATAGTATTTTATTAGTTGTCTAATTTGTTATTAATTAAATTTACAAAATCACTTCTTTTCAGTTGTGGGTTTTAAAAAGTTTTTTAAAAAAATGTACCCAAAAACAAGTTAAAAAAATAAAGGTTATTTTTATTCTTCAATTATTTAATTGTGCAATTTTGGTCTTTCAAATATTAAAATTTTGTTATTTTAGTCTCTCCCCATTGAAAATCTATTAGTTTTTCAAATTATATTATAGTATGATGTTTTAAAATTATGCAATTCTTCAACTATTTATGTTAATATATATTAGAAGTTTTATTAACGTATCAAATGATAATATATATATATATATATATATATATATCTTTTAATAATCACATTTAATGTTCACATTTATTAAACTATTATACTCTTTCATAATTAAAAAATTAAGATTTTTTAATAATTAACATTCTCTTATAATAATCACCCACATTATTATCTTTTACCTTAGTTTTAAAGTAAATACTAAAAAACACATAAATCTCTTTTTCTCCTAATTTAAACCATTGACAATAACTTCTTGTGCACGTAATACAATATAAAAAAAAGACATATATTACTATATTTATACATGAAAATAACATCATTAATCGACATTACATAAAATAAAAAAATAAAAAAAGCATTACATCATTTTAAAAATTAAGAGATCAAATTAAAATTTTAATAATAAAATGACTAAATTAAATTATTTAAATAAAAAAGATGACAAAAAGAAAAGAATGATTTAGCTTAAATAATAAGCAAACTACAAGGTGACATATTATAAACAAAGATATTTGAACATAACCTCTTCATCTTGTTATTATTTGTATTTACTTGCCATACCAAACAAATAGTATTCTTTCAACAAAGTGCGTGACTCTCACATACTCCTCATTAAAGCACACTTTTTTCTTTTTCTCACTAATTGACTGTGGCGGCAGGACAATAAAAAATAAAAAAATAAAAATAAAAATAAATAAAAAAAGGAGGAAAAAAATTGTCCAAATTCCCTCCAAAACCAAAATACAAAAGAAAACTAACTATACAGCATTCATGTCCTTATTTGGTTGACATGCATGGAAAAACTCAGTGAG